CTATCTGTGTTTTATACTTCAATATGCAGACATATATAAATATTTTCCCCTATCACATTGAAATAGAAATTCGCATTCCTTGCATAATATTACTAATATTAAAGAATCCAAGTGAACTCCAATTAAAACACATAATAGTATATAGAAACCTTTCGAAATATTTTCTTTTATCAACGTAATTTTGAAGAAATTTGTAGTGGGCAAATTTATCATCCACATTTTGAAGGATAAGAATGAATAACACAAGTATCAGCATATAATGAAATGTATGGAGATAACGAACAGTATTCAAACCAAAATACCAATTTTGGAGCAAACACGGACCTCTAAAACATCAGAGGTGGGATCAGGTGTCATGGATAAGTGAGCATCCCCTGCCGACAGGTCACACCCACCGTGTGCTCCTTGTCATGATCGGGAAATAACGGAAAAGTCCGTCGACAATTCAGTGTGTAAATAATGGATAAAATGTAACAATAAGTACATGTATGAAACACGTCAGTCAGCATTCGACTTATTGAAAGATTGTATTTGCTGATAAGGTCATTGTATTGACAATAGAACTTGCGAAATGACGACTTTATACGAGACAATTGATAATATAAAAATGTATAATATATAATATTTTAAAGCACAAAAATAAACAAAAAAAATTAGACAAATAACTTACCTTATAAATATTCTTCAAAGACAAAGAGATTAAAGTGAAGGTTAATATTGTGGAGTTATAAATAGTGCTGATGCACTATTGTTTTGCTTAGTCTGCATGGTGATAGTGATAAGTGGAGACAAGTAGAACTACTTTATGAGCTGCTACTGCGAAGTAGACTAATCATTTCGTAGACCCTGCGTATCCTATTTTTCTTGCATTTAGGCAACAAAGCTTCATATATCAGTTTAATTTGTTTTTATTTTATACTTCAATGGATCCTTTAAATTGTTGTATTATACACAAGTGACCGTGAAGTCACTTTGGTCTCTCATCTTGGAGACAAAGTCTTTAATAAGAAATTTAGAGTGCTAGGGAAACTTCCTCACGCTCAGAAATTATTTAAAATTTTAGCTGTCTTTCAAAAAACTTCACACATGGATGTATATGACTGGAAAAATGTTAAATTACGGAATAAAGCAACAGCGCACAACCAACTTGGGATAATAGCTACAAGGGTTAAAAAGCTCGTAATTTATAGTGAAGTGGCTATCGTTGACTCTTTCTATATTTTCAAGTGTATTTGCCTGTTAATTTAGTACTTAACTGTACATGCTATGGCTTTATAAAAGACGATGCATTTTCAACTTAATTGGCTATAAAATGCAGAAAAAAGCATTGATTAATATGTCTACATTTTGGTCAGATAACAATCGTTTCGTTTTCAATTTCATATTTATAAGCTACGATAATAGCTTGAGCACAGAGAACTGCATGTAAAACTAGTCAAAGAAGTCATCTCCGTCAGAACAGTGAGATCAAGCTGACTTCTATTATGCATTCGAGTGTAATTATAGCAAGATCAATTGCACATTTATTTATCTCCACATTATCTATGAGAAACAAATTATCTTAGTGTGTATGAAAAAAAACTTTAACATTTACATATCGATTTTCATTTGCACTTTTTTAACGCGACGTTTCCCTGGCTAATGTTAGTATGGTAGTCGTTAACCTAGCTGCGTATTACATATACATATCAAGAAGGTACTTAGATCACATTTCCCATTTCCTTCCTTAATATAGTTGGGTCTAGCAATGTTCTCACCGATATACTTGGTTGTCCTCATAAATGCACTTCCCTACGTTTTCAAAATCTAAGTATTTGAATTGTACATATTTGGTCAGCTTTTGGTTGTTCTTTGGAATGAATGTAAAACATTTTTCCTTATGTTTTGTAGCTGTTACTACTATATTTTTAAATGGAAACAAATACAAGAATAATGATTAGTAAAAATCTGGGGAAAAACGCACACTTGGCAAATTTAACAGAATTCAGCTTGGTTGTAATTTTTTTTCCGTAGTACTTACATTTCCTGAGACATTTATTCGTTGTAGATACTTTTTCACCACTTAAAATATTCATGGATTATAGAAATCATTGTTACCATTGGTCATCACAGGATGAAACTAACTGAAAGGCAACTGAAAGTCTACTGAAAGCTGACAAATGTCAGAGCTCTGACATTCAGTGACCTTTTCAGTCCTTTCAGTTACCATTCAGCTGACTGGCTTTCCTCCTTGGCATTTCTGTAACCAAAAAAAAAAAAAAAAAAAAAAAAAAAAAAAAAAAAAAAAAAAAAAAAAAAAACTAATATACTGTATAAAAGAGAGATTTATAAAAGGGTTGAAATAAATAAGAACACGTATTCTGCTCTCAGACGTAAAATAAACATAAAATAATTTCATGACAACGTAAATTTGGTTACATAATCAGGATGAATAAAAGGGCTTTGATAAACAGTAATATGTATGCAGTAGAAAGGATTTAAATAAAAAAAACGCATTCTGTTCTTAAACATAAAATAAACATAGGATACATGTACTAGTAATTGCATGAAAGTGTAAATTTGGTTACATAATCAATAAGAATGAAAGGGTTTTTCTATAAACAGTATTGTGTTTGCAGTAGAAAATGTACATCTCTTAACACAGTATAATGTCACCAAATAAATTACTGAGTTTTTTTTTCTTTTCAGAAAAACAATAAGACTCAAAATAATGATTATTCTACATCAGGAATTAACTATATATTATCCTGATTGTTTTAAAAAAAATTGTCGTAAGGCAAATTGCCTGATTGAAATTTTTCTAAAAATTAATGAACTTGTGATATTTGAAAAACAAATAATTCATTTAATAGCAACCTCATCGGACAATTTTTTTCATATAATAAAATGGGAATTATTTGACATGTAAAACTTTAAAATGTGTCTATAGAAATGAATGTACACTGTGCAGACTGATTTTACTCGAGGAACAAAGGGTTCAAAAAGAAAATATCGAGGTTAATGTTGAAATAAACAATGGGGGACATCAACATCTTTATAAACATTTTATTCCGGCTGACAACTCCATCCTTTCAATGAGGGTAGAAAGTTTGGAAGAAATATACGATTTAACTATTAGACTATTTCAACTACTTCATTCCATGCAGACAAAAAGAGAGGAATACTGAATCAGGAAAATACGCACTGCATGTTTTCATGGTTGTAACAACCGAATAAATATTGTAGAGAATGTTTTAAGCATACATTTTGCAAGTGTGAATGTTGTGAAACTTTTTTAACAATACTCCAAGGCATAGGCTTATCCATGGATATCCATCATGGTGTCTTATTTCATTCACCTTTACTTTACACAAATAAACAATAGGGTTTTCATCACATTCGCACTAAACCTTACTCGTCTCCCTTTAAATTTTTAAACGTACTATTTGTAGAAGCTAAAGTATATTTCGATTTTTCAACTGCAGAATACAATAGCAAGAATGTTTCCAATCACACTACAAGAGTACATAAACAATGTATAATGATTCCAGCAGAGAAAACAAGGCTAGTAACAATATTGGCTTTAATTGTAAGACTCACTTTTACAACTGTATTTTAGAAGAACGATCGAAGTTTACATTCTAAATCTGAAAATCCAACTAACACTCATAGTTCACTATCAAATGATGAAATTCTTCAAAATCAATTTCAGTCTTTCATACTTTTAACATTCCAGTCAACGAAAGTGGTTTTGGTCTTCACTACCTATATAAGATTCTTAAACTTCATAACAATCCTCACAAAGATACATTGCTTGGTCCAACAAATGCTCTACTAAGGCCATATCTTGACTCCTAACAAAACTACTAACTACTGTGAAAGAAAAAAAAAATCAGACGCACTGCATATTAAAGAAGTGGTGTAAATGAAATGTGGATTTTTACCAACTTCAAAATACTTTAAGAAAATTTAAAAACATAATTTTTTTTCTTCAAATATTTGATTCTTCATTAAAAAATGTACCTTGTAAATTTTGTGTTATCTTATGATTGGTTATTTACAATGTACATCTCAATCCATATTGCAACTGCTCCGTGATAGGAAGGTCGTGTGATCGAATCAAGGCCATGAATGACCTAAGTCGATAAAAAAAATTAGGTTGTTCCTTCACCATGCTATCGGCACTCTGAAGTGAAAGTTGCGGGTCCTTCGGATGAGACCTTAAAAACCAAGGCCCTGTGTCACGGTTGGCGTTGGCACGATTAAGAAACCTCACTGCTCAATTGCCCTGAGTGCCGAGTAAAGGTCTGAATTTGCAGCCCTTTTCCGGCATATGGTGACGTCTATATATGAGTGAAAAATTCTCGACTGGGACGTAAAACAACACACAAACGATCAATTAATCTACAGTATACAAAATTTTCTTGTGAGGGAGACTCTGAATTTACACCTAATGTAAAAAATGAAAGCATCCAACGCTTATGTACAATCATTTTATACAATACAATTATGTACTATCATTTTATACAATACAAAATAAATACATAGACATACAGAAAATATTGCAGAAAAATATATGACCCGCTCACGCTGGTTTTTTTTATTTTTTTTTATTTTTCTGCAATGTTATAACTGCCATAAAAAGCAGAAAGCTTTTCATTGTATTAGACAATATTTGGCACTTCAAGTAATCTACACAGGTATATTACACGTACAAAAGGAAAATGGTACACTCACCTATTCACATACATTTATTTGTTTGTTTGTTTATTGTTTATTAAGAATTTTTCACTCATAGGGAGATGCCACCACTTGCCGGTGGAGAGCTGTAGTTAGATCGAATGACATCGAAACACATACATTTATAATTGGAAGTCTATTTAAAATAGCATGTAGAAAAACATATTGAAATTTGTATAGTAATTTCGTTATCTTAACTTCATAGACTTTACAGGTTTATGAACCTTCCCTTGATAACTAACAACAAATGGTTCATTCGATTCTTTTTCGACTCGTATCTGTTTAGGAGGATTATCGTACTTTTATTAAACATGAAGATAACGAACAGTAATCAATCTGAAAAGTCCATTGGAACATGTAAAGAAGCCTCAAATACCGACAATATTAGCAATAACTCATTTTCTCTTTCAATTTAAAATGATGCATACAAAACAAGCAAGTTAATCATTGCTTTTTTGGTGGTGGTTTGGAGAAGCGATAGATAAATTGTAAATTAAACTTAACGTTATCTGAATTTATCTTAATTACTTTCGTAGTATACATTTTCAATGGTTAAATCTGTGTATAACTTTTCTGTGTTACTCTTATCTTGTTCTGGATTCAAGGAAGTGTAGGCGGAATTTGGACGTGCTGAAAATGCACCTTGATTTACTTCCGGTGAAATGACGATGTTCAGTCCAGTATACGGCTGTTCCACGAGGTCATTAGCTTCCACATGATGAAGTGTAGTGTAGGTTGAAGTAGGACAATTGCCAGGAGACGTCTGAGTAACCAGAGATTCTGGAACTTGTGTTCTGTTTTTGTCATTTTTCAGTGTTGATTTCCTTTAAACAATATATATATATATATATATATATATATATATATATATATATATATATATATATATATATATATATATATATATATATATATATATATATATATATATATATATATATATATATATATAATTTTATATCATAAATAATATTATTATTGTTACAGTGTAAGGTAAAACCTTCCATTTTACATTAAATTGTTTCTTATGTTCACACATTCATCAGAATCATATAAAAGATAAAAATAAATGTTACTTTACCTTTTCTGATATCTCACAATATATATTACAAGAGTAATAATAATTCCTGATAATATAAAGACTAACACTGCACATATTACAAATCCAATAAGCTGTCCATTACCTGAAATGTTGATACAAAATGTTTTATAGAATTTTCTTCCAAAGTCTTCACATTAGATTGAATAATTTGAAAAGCAGAAGGTGCAGAATATTTATTTTAAAAAGACAAAAATTATGTATAACATATCAAAGAACAATAACCAAAACAATGAAAGAATCATGAAATCTTAAAAATCATGCTTTTTCCAATTTTTTCTTCTTTTTACTGTTTTTAGCGTCCGCCGACGGATTGGGTTTGAAGTTATGAAACTAAAAACAAACAAAAAATAAAAACCGACAAAACAACTCTTTGAAATTCTATTTACTTCTTTGAAACCATCATCTCTCTTTTTAAGGCATGTACCATTTTTTTTTTTTTTTTTTTTTTTTTTTTTTTTTGATTTCAATAAAAAAATAGTTTAGCTGAATTACAATGCGAGAATTTTAAATAATGATGAAACAAATCTAGATTTGTTCTTTAAATGTTGTTTTTTTTTCTTTTTATTTTTCCCAGATCGAAAGATAGGTTTTCGAATCTAGGGTTGATCCTAAACAAAGAAAAAAAAACTTGGAATTGCCTCATCATGTTGATTCAATGAAAAATACCTCCACAAATATCTTTAGCAGTGGGAGAATAGCTGATGAATTCAGTATTTATTAAGCTCCCTGTAGTTTGATTACCGTATCTAGTTGCATGCGTGCTTCCTCCTTCATTAGTTGATTGGCGTGGAACTGAAGATACATTTAAATTCTTCTTAGTTGGGGAATGTTAATGCGTGCCAGATAAATCAGATTTTCAGATATTAGATAATATTTTGCACTTCAGATGTGACAGAAAAGAGAGGGTTTGAAAACAAAAATAATGGACACTCTCGTCCATCTATTTGGCAGCTTTCTTTTCTTTTCCTATGAAAAAGAATAGAGTGAATACACAGGAAAATTAAAAATTGTTTATATAGTTTTTGCATTATTCGGAAAAAAATATTTTCTTACGTTTTAACTGGGAAAAAGAAAATGAATAAAGCTGATAAATTCATTTTTGATTCGTGGATTTATGTTATATTTTCTATCAAATTAAAGCTTAAATTATAAGATGAAAAATTCGACACACATATAGTTAAGGATGCCATAATTAATAAAAACAGGCTCTTATTAACTTTTTGAACTTGACAGCTACTTTCTTGTTTTGCTATTCATACTAGAGGAAGAATGTGATTAAATATGCCATCCTGTAATAAAGAAAGTGAGGAAAAATGGGTGAAGCTTTATTATATGTAAGTCGAATTTTAAAAAAAAATATCGAACAGTTACACTGTTCAAAAGTCCAACTAATCAATGCAATTTGTGAGCACAGCAAACACAGACCTCTCAAAACAGTTCAAGTGGATTACCCCCATCCCCGTCACCCAGTCAAACCTGCTGTTTGTCCCCTGTCATGTTCGAGTAAACAGTGAAATCCTCAGAAAAATTATTATGAAAATAGTACCTTCCTAAGTTGTATAGATGTCATTCGATCTAACCACAGACTGTACTTGAAACAAAATTAATGATATTTACCACAGATTTTTGCGAAATGTTGTCTCAAAACGAGATCAACGATATCTTGGTATCAACTTATTTTCAGTAGCCTAAAGTATTCACAAATTGAGATAATCTGAGTGTCCATTAAATTAATCGTACCTACCTATATATGTTTCCTTTCTCAAATTTGACTCTGTACTTGTAGATTCCAGACTTCCACAAGATGCAGTGATAATGTTTGAAATGTCTGATAAATCATTAATACAAACAATTTGATTTTATAAAGGAACTGAAGATGAAACTGTTTAGCATTTCTAAAAAGTCGTTACCAAATGGGGTAAAATAAAGGTAACATATGTGTAGAACTTTCAAGCATACATGTACAAGACGGAATGATTTTATTTTTTGTAAAAATGCCTTCAAAATTCCTACTATAACGCAATACGCCCATATGTTTCGCGAACGGAATAAAAATCGCAGATGACGTTTGATTTTATTCAAAAATAATTTTGTATGTATGTTATATGATTAAGTAACTAAGAAAAAAAAAAAACAATTAGTTTCCACTATTTGAAACATTTCCTAGAAATTATATCAGTAATTGATTCTGAAGAAAATGATATTTTGAATAACGTAAGTTACGTATGTAGGCATAGAGGGAAAGATAAAGAACAGATAAAAAACTTCAAACAATACAAATCAGGGATCAGGTGCCTAAGAGGAGTAAGCATCCTCTGTTGACCTGTCACTCCCGCCGTGAGTCATATGTATTGATCAAGTTGTTATCTACAGAATATTCAGTACTTAAATATCTATATACTCGTTATTTGATGAAATGTGAATGTAATTTTTTTCTCCAAGAGAAGGAGAATGTCACGGAGTAAATTAAAATTAATATATACTACTTAACATTCATATCATTTCCTAAGTCATTATATTATTATAGTGACTAGTGATTTCCTTTGACGGAATTTTCTACGTCAAGTCACTTGCAGCACAGTTAAGGCTGCAGTAAGGAGGCGGGGCCTAATTTATACGGGAAATGTTTACTATGACATCACACAAAAATATAAGTTCTTTAAATTACCCCAAAATGAAATGATTTGCTATTTTAAACTGATGAATAGCTTTAAACTACATCAATACTAACTAGTGCATGCATTATTGTCGTTGGTTAAGTCTAACAGCAATATATATAAAATTCACTGATCGCAATGCACTTGTCAATGTGACGTCATATCGTAAAATTTGACGCAGTTTGTATGCAATGAGAGGTGGATCAAGTTATATTATACAATAAAAGATATATTTTGCAATCAAATAAAATATAAATTGTAGATATATAAAAGGCCATTAACGTAGATGCAATGTCTATTTTATAATTTTATTCATATACTTCCCGTACAAGCGATACTGTCGTGCATTTGTATGCAGGTTCATTGAAGGGTAATAGAAAGGTCGTAATAAATCGATATATTGCAAGGGCATACCCTCAATGAATTATGACAAGCTTTTACACATAAACTCAAGAAGTATGAAGATATTTGAAAAGTGCTGCGAACCTGTTGAAATCTTGCAAATAAATTAGTTATATCTGTATTTAATGTACTTGACCAGCAAAATATTCAACATAGGGTCTAACAAATGTAATTTTAGCAATTAAATAGTAGAACCTATATAGGTTCGCAGCACTTTTCACTAACTACAAAGAGTGTTGAAAATAATTATATGTTAAACTTAGATTGCCCTTGAAATATTAGAATTTATAGATGACCTCAATACTTCAGGTATATTTGCTAAAATCACGTGAAGGACACATCACGTGACAAGTCTAAATAAGAATCTAATCGTCCTCAACATGTAGTTTTCAACCAATTGCATTTGTCCGATAATATTAAAGTCCTAAAAAGAAACGCCCATCCTTGTAAAGAATGTATTTTCTATCTAAAAAATTCGCCGATATTTCCATTTGGCACCTTAACTGTACTGCGCTGTCACATTCCTAAATGTGTTCATGCAAGTGAGTGGTAAGTGCGATTAAGGATGCGTAAACGGACGACAGAAGTGATAAAATTTTAATTTGATACCTGTTAAAAAAACTTCAGATCATCTTTTATTTGTTGTCTTACATTCTATGCTAGAAAATATAGTTCGAACCCAACATAGTTGTGTTGTGTTTTATTATCTCAACGTACATTGACCAGACTTTGACAAAAAGAAAGTAACCTGTCCTGCAATATCTATACATTTTATATGAAAGATATCGATTGTAGAACTCAAGATTTTTTTAGTACGAAAAAAAATGACGCGTTTGCAATTAGATTTTCATTCACCAAACGTAAGAAACCCCAAGATCCTGCTCCGTGAACAATTTGACCACAAAGTGAAAATTATTGACTTTTTTTTTAAATATCAGTAAATGGTTCTGTATTTTGTATACCTAACAATGAAAGATAGTATAATGTAACATTATCAAACATATGTAATGCGAACGCACATGTATATGCAAACTTTCTAACAGTCACTTTACATGTTAAGGTCAAGCAGTAAATGAAAAGTGCCTACAGATTTTTCAAAGTTGAGGAACAAATTCCTTTAATAATCCATTACATTTATACCTTAATAAATTAAGGTGTACCACAACAAAATTTTCAAATAATCTGAACGAAAAAACATATTTTAAACTCCCCTTTTCAATGAATAAAAAAAGGAGAAAATCATTTATAAAAAAAATAGGATTTTTTTTCATCTCAGACATAGAAAATGTATCAGTATCAGAACAGGTATCAGTATTGCCTATATTAACTATAGTGATAACTTTGACACTATGAAAACATTGATTTACTTTTGTGATAACTTTGACACTTTGATTTACTAAAGTGATAACTGTGAAAACTTTGATTTACTATGGTGATCACTATGAAAACTTTAATTAACTATGGTGAAAACGTTGTTTTACCACATGGATAACTTTGAAAACTTTGTTTTACTATAGTGATCACTATGACACTATAGTGATCACTTTGAAAACTTTGATTTACTATCGTGATCACTTTGACACTTTGATTTACTATAGATAGGTATAGTTAACTATTGTAAACTATAGTTAACTATAGTATTTTTTTGTTATGGTAGTTACAGAAAGTTGTATTTAAAAAAAAAGCATCACTCAAATTTGCAATATATCAGTCGGTCAAGAAAAAGCATACTATAAAGTGCAGTGTCTGATTTCGCAATCTTCTTACAAGGGGCTGATATGTTATATTTCAAAATATGTGGGCAAAAATTGTGCGGTTCAATTTCTTTCAAATTACATATATGGAGAGATTTGGTTTCCTAGAACAAAATTTCAAAGTTTAAAAAAAAATGAGGAAAAATCTGGCTTATCTATTGTGTACTACCTTAAGCAATAATGTATGTATGTCAGACGAGGATCTGACTTTTTATGACAGAAGCATTTTATTAAAGACCGCAGATTGTTTTGTGAAGATATAGGTATCCACTAGAGATTGAGAAAAAAACTGCAGTTATTTATATCATTTGATCATTGTTTGGCAAAATTGATTTTTATAAATGTTGTGAATGGTATGGAGGCAAATTTCTATCTCCTACATGCAAGATAAATTATGGCATCCTGAGTGACAAGATGCAAGATAATTATGTCTATGATAATTATATTGACATGAAATTTACTATTTTGATCTGATTTTAACATGGAAAATTAAATTAACTACTGTATCTGACATCATGTATGCAATAAAATTATGTACACATGCAACTATTTTTTGCTGACATGCAACTTTTTTTCTGCTGACATGCAACTTATTTATGTCAACATGCGAGTTATGTTAAAATATGTTTTTCATGTCAACATGCCCGAAAATTCATGTCAATATGTATGAAAGTTATGTTGACATGCGACTTTTATACATCAACATGCTTCTTATTTATGTTAACGTGCGCGATAATTATGTTAACATGGAAGATAAAGCAACATATTTATGTCAATGTCAACATGCGAGATAATTTTGTTGATATTTTATAGATATGCGATTTATTTATGTCAACATGCTTCTTATTTATGTCAACATGTTCATAAATTATGTTACCATACAAGTTTGTTATGTCGACATGCAAAATACATGTATTCATGCTAAGCTTCCATTTTACAAACCGTTCACGGTAGTCAGTCGGTAGAGCGCTCGCTCCGTGATCGGGAGGTCTTGAGATCGAATCTCGGCCGCGACTGACCTAAGTCGATAAAAAATGGGTAGCAACTGTTCCTTCGCTATGCATTCGACACTTCGAAGTAAAAGTTGCGGGTCTTTCGGATGAGACCTTAAAAACCGAGGCCCCGTGTCACGGCAGGCGTTGGCACGATAAAGATCCCTCACTGCTCAATGGCCCTGAGTGCTGAGTAAAGGTCAAAATTTGAAGCCCTTCACCGGTATAAGGTGACGTCTCTACGAGTATATGAGTGAAAAATTCTCGAATGGGACGTAAAACAACATACAATCAATCAATCTATCTATCCATTTTACAATGTCCTATTTTCCTATCAACTTGACATAAATAAGTTGCATATCAACATAATTATATTGCATGTTGAAATAAATATAATTATATTCATGCGCTCAGTTGTTATTGCATATGTCGTATATATTACATATCATGAAGATAAATACCGTTTGTTAACACCCGTAAGCAGTAACCTGTGGGTCCATTAGGGTCTACTTTTACTAATTCCACTGTACTAGAACTGTTAAGAACAACCAGGGCACCAGGAGATATTGAACATGGTATTCTGAACTCCTGGTTCCACTTATCTATAATTCTTATTGCTGTCCCACAGTCAGCATAACCTGGATTAGCGGCCAAAGTATAAAATACTTGTCCACTGAAGTTAAGCGAAATTGAACAGGTGCATTGATAATTAATCTCCCCAAAGTCAATAAGAATATTGTTTCCCAAAACTGTGCTTCTGTCACAACTTTCCAATGCATTTGCTGAAAAATACAGAACAAAAGGTAACAATACTTTTAAAACAGGAAGAAAAAGCTCAATTTTTTGTTCAAATATTTGCATGCTCCCTGTTTTCTCCAACCCTGCACTCGTCGGTTGCGTTCATATCACTATCAACACAATGTCTTCTGCTATGGGTGCATTTCGTTTCCCATACTCGCACAGAACAAGCTACTCAAATTATCTGTCGGGTTTAGAAGAATATATATGAAATGTTGTGCAAGAGGAATACATTTTTGTTTTTAATGAAATTTGCTAGGAAAAAAATCAAACTGATTAAAATTGCTGATTGAAGTGTACTTTTTTTTTTAAATTAAATTTGGTTAATTTATTTAATTGTATAATTAAACTTTCTACAAATTAAACAGAGTTGCCATACCTTTACTTTTTCTGATCATTTTTACACATATAGTTACAAAGAACAATACTCTTCACGCTAAGGGGGTTAAGACAAAGCGAAATATATATTAGTATATCTACGGTAAAAAATATGTTGATTGTATCAAGTATCATAACATTATTTATTATACATATTTCATTGTATTTTTCTTAAAATAATATATTCAAGAGTCTTGCTAGAGAAAATCGAGAAGAAATCTCAGAAGCGTAAAGAGTTCTACACTTGTCGTATATACATTGTTAAGTTTAAAATTTCGACGGGACTTATCTAATTATCCCATAAATAAATCAGAAATAAATCAGAAATTGATCATATTTTTCTTATTTGCTCTTTATAAAATGTTGAAGAATTTTGATGACTTATCTCTTTCCTTTATGAAGTAAATGTAAATGTCTTAATAATTTCCGAACAACCCTAGCATTACAATGCTGTTTCCCATCTCTGTAATGGGTCTATTTATTTTTTTCTCCGGGTTTTGAAAAGCTGTGAAATTTATATGCATTTATTGTTTTCATCAAGAAATGAAACGTTAATTGCTACAAAAGATATATCCTCAAATATCGAACAAATCTATAATGAAACCTAAAATTATAAGATAAAGATAGAAAGGGTTCAAGAGAAAACAACTGTGCAACTCAGTTAAAGATGTTTACTTTCTGTGTGCTATCTTGTCCCATTCAAATGTCTCCCCGAATTAAGAAAATAAACATTTTTTTCTAGATCATGAAATACTTCTTCTTTAATGTTAAGGTTGTTCCAAAGTATCAAAACAGAATTTATCTAAACAACTTACATTCTTTGGAACACGTTGCGTTTTGTCCTGAAACAAAGAAACCAAAAGAAAATTGATAGCAAGCCTGTCTTTGAGCTATTTTTCAATCAATATTATTTTTTTTTTAAATTGAGATAGGCATGTATGTTGAACAATCTTTGCATATCAAATAACTAAAACTTTGAAACTGTGTTATATTTCAAAATTTTGAAACTATACTATTGACATTAGGCACAAAAAGATTGTTATGATGTAAAACCCATACCATAAACATTCCAATGAATGACTAGAAGAAAGCATACAAGGCTTATCCACTTTCGTTTCATTCTCTCTGCACAAAATACACAAGTGACAATAAACGCTTATAACTGTTCATGATGCATCAATTACATTCTTCCGTCTCAGTGTGTAATGTAGTGCAAACTTTTACATTGTGAATACCAACATATATGAATCAATCAAGTATTTATCTTCCCAGTAAGTCTCAATTTATTCTCTGAGAAGTTTTAAGCTATGGTACATTACTGTTTCATCACATGAACGTACAAGTTTATTAAATCTGTCAAATGTTAAGTATTTCATTGACTTATAATACATTAATCGCTGTTTTCATTAAAATCAACTTAATGCTTGTAACCCACCCGTGTTATTCACAATTTAAAAAAAATTGCTTCACCAGGAAGGTTGTTTTTTATTATTATAAGAAATATTTTTTAAAGCTATATGGCAATCCTCATTTATAATTCTTCCATATATAGAGCTAAATTGCATATCAACAACTCATATACCTTAAAAAGTCAATAATAATATAACTGACAAGAACGGCATATAAAAGGGTTATTTAACCTATAAACGTTAATTTTCTTTAGAGTTTTAAGTGTTTTATTACTGATTATTTATTAGCTATATAAAGAAAGAATAAGTGATGAAATTGAATAGAAAACAAAAATAAATAAGGAAATTAAAAAAAATATAAGATTAAGTATACACAACAACTTTAACACTACAAATGCCAGGTTCTTGTTTGATTTAAATTGATAAAAATGCGTATATAACTTATGGATTCTGGAAATGAGCAAGAGTTTGGCAGTATTATAATGCAAGGAGCTTAAACCATATGTTGTTGATTGTGCTTTTAGCAACATAAGAATTTTGTGATTCGAAAGGAATAGAAGGTTGATTTTATGTTTAAAATAGAGTCTTGAAGGTGGACGGGGGATTTTTATTTCTAAATCCTTCTAACGGCCAATGTTTTGTCAAAGCTAAGTTATCTTGCCTTCAACTTGATATTTAGACATATCGAAAACGTTTAATCAATTAACAATAGTTACTTTTATTGATACGTCGACTCGATATGAAATCGAAATTGAAGACACTACAGAGCCTGCCACAACTGTTCATATTTGGATGGTTTACTGACTGTGTACTATAATGACCAACTAATAGCTTAACTGGGTGACACACTGGATGACTTCAGCTTTCCATGGTCAATTTCCTATTTTATGTAGTAATATTGCAACATCACCTGCATATGGTGTTAATATCTCCCAACTGATTAGATAAGCATGAGCATGCTCTGACTACGCAGTACAGTTAAGGTGCCAAATGGAAATATCGGCGACATTTTTTAGACAAAAAAAACATTATTTTCAAGGATGGGCAATTCTTTTTAGGCCTTTACTATTATCGGAAAAATGTAATGTGGCTGAAAACTACATGTTGAGGACGTTTATATTTCTCATTTAGATTTGTCATGTAATGTGGCAGTCACGAGATTTCAGCAAATATACCTGCAGTATTGAGGTCATCTATAAATTCCAATATTGCAAGGGCTTAACCAAGTTAAAAATCTAAGTTTAATTTATAATTATTTTCAACACTTCTTGTAGTTTGTGAAAAGTGCTGCGAACCTATATAGGTTCTACTATATAATTGGTAAAATTACATTTGTTAGACCCTATGTTGAATATTTTGCTGCTCAAGTACATTAAATTTAGATATATTTAATTCATTTGCAAGATTTCATCAGGTTCGCAGCACTTTTCAAATATCTTCATACCTCTTGAGTTTATGCGTAAAAGCTTGTCGTAATTCATTGAGGGTATGCCCTTGCAATATATCGATTTATTACGACCCCTTTATTACTCTTCAATGAATCTGCATACAAATGTACGGCAATTTCACTTGTCTATGGAATGTACGGGAAGTATATGAATAAAATCATAAAATAGACATCGCATCCAAGTTAATGGCCTCTTATATATCTGCAAATAATATTTTATTTAATTACAAAACACATTTTTCATTGTATAAAATATAACTTGATCCGCCTGTCGCTACATACAAACTGCGTCAAATTTTACGATATGACGTCACATTGACAAGTGCATTGCGATCAGTGAATTGCTTATATATTGCTGTGTGGGATTTAACCAACAACAAAAATACATGCAGTAGTAAGTATTGATGTAGTTTAAAGCTATCCAACAGTTTAAAATAGCGTATCATTTCATTTTGTGGTAATTTGAAGAACATGTATTTTTGTGTGATGTCATAGTAAGCATTTCCCGTAAAAATTAGGCCCCGCCTCCTTATTGCAGCCTTAACTGTGCTGCGTACGATAAATCCATTCGTTTGGATTCTGCTTTTATATTGAATTTATAAAGAAGTACTCCGTTTACTTGATCAATATATAGATCGGTCAAGAGGGGAAACTTCGCAATACAGTTAAGGTGCGCAATGGAAATATCGGCAATTTTTGTGATTAAAAATATATTCTTAATCAGGATGGCGATTCGTTTTAGTACTTTATTTATAGCGGACAAATGTAATTATGGTTATTAAATACATATTGAGGACGATTAGATTTTCTATTTAGACTTGTCACGTGATGTGCCAGTCACGTGATTTTAGCACATTTACTTGCAGTATTGAGGTCACCTATAAATTTCACTAGTGCAAGGACATAACCAAGTTAAAATTCTAAATTAAATTTATCAATTGTTAGCTGGTCAACGGCATTAAATATAGACAAAATGAATTAAATTTCAAAATTTCAACAGGATCCATTGAGTGTATGCCCCTGCACTAGATCGATTTATTAAGACCCTTACATCACCCTCCGATGTATACTTGCGTGCAAATACACAGCAGTATCAATTTAATAGGAAATGTACATAACATATATGAATATAATGATAAAGAAGACATTGCATCTAAGTAAATAGCCTCTTAAATATCTGCAAGTAATATTTTATTTAATAATAAAATACATTTTTCGTTGGGAAAAAATTACTTGATCTGCCACTCATTGCATACAAAAACTGCGTCAAGTTTTACAAAATGACGTCACATCGACAAGTGCATCGCCATCAGTGACTTGTTTATACCTTGATGTGTGGGATTAAACTGACGACATAACAGCATGTTGTAGTAAGTTTTGATGTAGGTTAATATTCTGGTACAGATTAAATTCACAGATTAATTCATTTTGAGGAATTTTTTAAAAAATCGGTAGTTTTGTGTGATGTCATAGTTAAAATTTCCCGTACAAATTAGGCCCCGTCTCCTTATTGTAGCCTTAACTGTGCTGCGTTACTCCTCCTAAGCACCAGGTCCAATCTCTGACTTTCCAGGGGCCCGTTTTTTTGCCGAGTTTCCGATTCGTTTTGTTAATTTTATTTACTTGATCAATACATCGGACGGCGGGTTTGACCGGTCAAAAGGGGATGATTACTCCTCCTATCTCCTAGGGATTTGATCCCACCTCTGGAATTTCCAGGGGTTTGTGTTTATGCCCTGTTCACAGATTTGTATTGGTTGAAGATTTTATGAGATCGATCACTGTTATCTTCTCCCATTTTCATTTATAAATGTTCCTTATGTTCACATTTCACATTCAAGAATAGATAGTTTGCAACGATAAGAAAACGAATATAGACCATTTTAAATCATTGTACTTGAATCATAGCGTTGTTTCCTTTATTTTCTTATAAATTAAACTCTTGTTCCAAAAAAAAGTGTCACAAATTTTACTATTCCCATAGAGTGCTTTCGTTTCACATCCTCTGGCTATGATAAAATTTTCTTTATACGTTTTGTTTCAAGAGCCTTAATTATGTCTTTTCCTCATGATGGTATTTTCTATTATACTAAACTGTAAGGATAGAGCAATTAATTATATTTTTTTCAGTAAGGGGTTACATAACCCATGTTTTTGTCCTTATACACAAAATAAACACTGCAAATCTACCTAGCCAAATAAGTTCGATAATACCTTAAGTTTATATATATCTGTAGGACTCCAAAGTACGATAGGACTCCAAAGCCCGATGGTCTCGCCAAAGTGCGATGGTCTGCGCCAAACCCCGGGTTTGATACGCCAAAGTCCGATGGTGTGGAAAAACAATTAAGTTTATGACGTCATAGTACTACAGCACTGATCTGAGATGCCACGCCGAGATCCGATGGTAACAAATAAATACAAATGAATATTAAATAATTGATCACGGAATTGAAATGGTTTTCACTAGAAAAACCAAAATTTATTTGTACTACTACTTCTAATTTCTCGAATGGGTGCAAGGCTAACCATTATCTCTCTGATCTTATCTAATCTGGTGCGAGTCTAACCTGAAAAGTATGCAATAGCTCACCTACATATTTTGGATGTATGGGAGAAAGACTATCCCTAAGACTAATGAGTCGAATGGTGTGCAAAGGTCTACCCTAAATCTCTTTGGCGGGTGCGAGACTAACCCTATCCGTCTAATAGAAAACTATCCCTAAATCTCTTAGTTGGGTCCGAAGCTATCACATTATCAGTCCAATAGTTCGAGGACTTATAGCCCATATTCAGTCGAGTTGTGTGCAAGGACTAACCCTAACAAATGGAAATCAGTCACATAAGATGCAAGGAGTAACTAGATGCTGTCATGAGACAGTAAAACCCGTACTAAGGTGTTTGCCTCTAAATGCACACTCCTTCATGTTGGGCTTACCAAGGAAAAGGTCAAATAATTTACATAGTAAATGTATTCGTCAATTCGAGCATAAAATGCTCAGGTGACCATGTGACCTATGAGTCTCTTATAGGTATTTCCTTTACTTAATTCATTACCAGTCTGAAATAACAGAATTTAACTAATGATGTAAATTAGGTTTTGATAAAAGGGGGGATATAAATTTTGGCCCATAATTGGAACTTTTTAAATTTATTTTCTCAACAACAAATAATACTATTTTAGTACAAAGCGTTTTTGATGAATTTATCAAAATGTGCAATCTTATTTTTTTTGGTATTTGATTAGGCAAAAACCTCCTTGAAAAACCATAC